ACCAGTTATGTGCAGTCACTGAAACTAGAATGTTGCCCTAGGCAGGCACCAACACAAACATGCCAGTACAGCAGTTGTGACCTGGCGGTTATCACAACAATACAGGTAACAACAAATGGAAGGTGGTAATTTTTCAATTATAAATAATAAAATGGGCTGGAATAATAGCACAGGTAAGGTGTTTGCCTTGCACGCAGCCAACATGGCCGACCCGAGTTCGATTCCCCCGCCCCTCTCGAAGAGCCCAGCAAGCTACCGGGAGTATCTCACCCGCTCGGCAAAGCCTAGCAAGCTCCCCATGACATATTTGATATGCCAAACACAGTAACAACAAAGTCTCCAATGGAGACGTTACTGGGCCCGCTCGAGCAAATCGATGAACAACGGGAGGACAGTGACAGTGACCATTGGAAATATTGGACATAACAACATGGACTCAAAGGTCAATCAGCAGATGATTGGGTGAAGAAGCTGTGGTCTATTTCTTCTGTGGAATACTCTGGAATAAAAAAAATATGATATACTCTGGAATAAAAAAAATATGATATACTCTGGAATAAAAAAAATATGATATTGGGTCTTTGATGATTAAAAGGATGGAATATGAGGTGATAATATTAAGTGATGTCAGTAGTAGGATGGAAGCAGTTATTGGGCGATTTCAGTATTTTGTGGAATGTAAATAACTAAAGCAAAAAAATAATGTAAATAACTTTATTCCTCAATAGACTCAATGAAAACTAAAGCAAAAAAAATAATGTAAATAACTTTATTCCTCAATAGACTCAATGAAAAGTATATAGGCTAGACAGAAAGAGAATGAGGGTGGAAGGGATTAGTATAAAGTCTTTTTGGTGTAATGACCCTAGAATTTCAATGATAGGAGTGGTTACTATGAATACATAAAGAAGTATAGTTAAACCTCTAAAATTCCACTACGACTTTAACCAATGATAAACCAATTTTTTTTTAAATAAAGAGGTCATAACATGGGAGAACAGCAAGAAGACCCATATGACCAGGAGAAGTGGGATTAAAGCATTGTTCTTATGTACCTGGAAGGAAAGTAGAAAAAAAAACACAACATGCGATCACAAAAATAGCATACATTATAAGAGAGGAATGATGTCACATGGAAACCAGTGAGGATTAAAGCCCAGAAGTTAAATAAGAAGTCCTAAAGCATTAGAGACACATTGTAAAACTAAAATGCACATCTAGATTGTGTTCTTAGTCCCACAGATGTGGTAACTCCTAGAAATCTGATTTTCTCTTTGACTGCAGAGTATCTTGCTAGCCTGCCTTCTGTTATACAAAGGTTAGAAATGAATTCCACAGTGCCACATAATTAGTAAAGAAACAATGAATTGGGTGAAGATAAATATCACTGTCAGCGATATCAAGTTTTTTGGATCCTGTAGATCCAGGCATGTAATTTCCAGGAGTCAACTGGACATAGTTTGGTTTCATTGTAACGAGGACATTCCTTCTCTTTATGGGTCTTCAGTGCACTTAGGATGTATGAAAAGTATAAAAAAAGGAACAATCTCTTATGATATATTAGATTCTTGAGTGCCAAACATCTGGTTTGAGGGTGTAGCTATATACAGAAACCACAATCACACACAAATCACAAATCATCCTGTTATTCGTCGATTGCCTCAAGCAGGCCCCGGTAATGTCTCCTTCATCCTAGCCCTGAGATTATATTCAAGGCTCTTTAGGAGAATGAGACCCATCATTGTTACTGGTATTTGGCATATTGGGTATGCCACGGGGAGTTTGCCAGACTCTGCCCTGTGGGCAGGCTACATTCGGTAGCCTGCCAGTTTGTCCAAAGTAGGAATGAGATAATAAGATGACATAATAAGGTGTCGCGGACACGCAGTTCCGGGAGCTGGTTTTTATATCTGGGTGGAGGATGCTTGGCCCAAATCCGAGTAGGCTTGGAGATCTCGGCCCAGGAACCCGCATGACTTTGTTCCTCTGCCAGTACCTTCATGTGTGCGAAGAGTGGTCTCAGCATGGTGGTGGCTGGTCCTGGTGGACTTTGGCTGCTGGAGCCCTGGTCGGGGCAGGGAGGAAAGCTCAACCCACTCCCCTCCAAGGGGCCCCGGCGAGGACAGCCAGGTGTGGGGGCAGGAGACTGCACTGTTTTCTTCCAGGAGCTGGTTTTTATAGTCTCTGATTTTCAGTCTCTTGCCCCCGCACCTGGCTGTCCGCGCAGGGGCCCCTTGGAGGGGAGCGGGTTGAGCTTTCCTCCCTGCCCCGACCAGGGCTCCGGTAGCCAAAGACCTCCAGGACTAGTCACCACCATGCTGAGACCACTCTCCACACACATGAAGGTACTGGCAAAGGGACAAAGTCACGCGGGTTCCGGGGCCGAGATCTCCAAGCCTACTCTGATTTGGGCCGAGCATCCTCCACCCAGATCCTCCAAATTCCAGTAGGCGGGGGTCACACCCACCAATTGGCCCCCTGGCTCCGTGTAATCCCATCAACGGCCAAGACTCAGAGATTATACAGAAACCATCTAAAGTTAACATGCAGCTCTGCAGTGAGGACTTGGGAGCATTACTCTAGAAGTTTGGAAGAATCCAAAAAATGCCTTCCTGACCCCCAGAACATTGGTTTCACCTCTCCACCAGCCAAAAAAACGCTTTGCAGGACTCCACCTACACAATCAGTGGTGGTCCCTGGGGAAGTCACAGTTCCCTGAACCCCCAGGGAATTTTTTTATAGACCGTCTCCTTTAGAGTTCAAGAAAACAGCTTAGAGTTGGGATCTGAAATCAGATCCCACAATCATATTCACTAGAGACCAGGGTAGCAGGGAGACATAGAGCCAGACAGACAGGCTCTTCATGGTGGGAAGAAACCACTTCTGAGAGTTAGGGAGGAGCTGACATACTGGCCTGTCTTTTGAGTTCCTGGCCAATAAGACACTCAGATTTTTTTTGTTTTTGTTCTTTGAGGCATGCCCAGCTGATCTCAGGGATTACTTCAGGGCTTGCACTCAGAGGTCACTCTTGGAAAATCCAGTAGACCATACAGGGTACCAGGGATCGACCTTGGCCCAGTCTCATGCAAGGCAAGTGCTTTACCAGCTGTACTATCTGTCTGGACCCAGAGAGCCACCCAGAATTTAAGACAATGGGGAAGACAATCCAGCTCTTATCCCAGACTCTGACACTCCAGCTAAATGTTGACTTTAGCAAATTTTATTTCAAAATAAACTTTATCTCAACAAAGAAAGATCTTAACTGGGAAGGTCAATTAAGTTATGACCACATGGATGGTTTGGCAGCTCACACACCTCCTTAATCTTCATATAGGGAGTGTGCTACTTATCTGGAATCCCATTTCTTCAGGACATCCTATGCTCTTCTCCAACATGAAGTCCCTCCTGCAACTGTCCAGGGCCAGCTGGGGCATCCTGGTTCTAGCTCTCTGTCTACAGTTGGTGATCAACAACGCTCAAGAAAATCAGTGAGTCATCCCTTTCTCCTCAGAAACAAACCCACAAGGTTTCCACTTCCTAAGCCCTACATACCCCTTCTGGAAAACTGTTACAACTTCCTAGACTCTAGTCTCAGGAGCATTTAAGGACCCCTAATCAAGTTCTACTTTCTTCTGTAAGAAGAAGATATGAGAGGCTATGGTATGGGGGCTCTGTAAGAGCCCCCATGATTTTCCCTCCGATTTCCATGGAATCTATTCAGTTGCTCCTGAAAAGAAAGTACCAGAATGCATATTGTCTGTAATGACGTTAGTTTCTCTCTAAAACTCTGATTTTCATCTTTCTATAATCTAAACTTCTGTTTGGATTTTTGCTCAGATTTTATGCACCCTCTCATACCTTGCCTTGCTTCCAATAATGAAAAGTTTAGTAGGTCAGTGAGTAAAAGCTTTGATCAGCTTTGGTAGGACTCATTGAATGATCAGAAACCCTGGTCACTATTCTTGGCTCAGGGATGAGGTTGAGCTAATCTAGCAGTTTGGGCACCCTTCTACTGAAGAAAAAGAGAAATATATTTCACCCCTCCACTTCCTGTGACCTTCAACTCCAGGGTGCTGTCCAGTTCTTGATGCTACCACTGACTGTCTCTCAACCCAGGAAACCCTCTGACATGATTATTCATCCTAAATTCGCTTACCAGTGGGAGGATTCAGAAAACACTTAAATCCTGCCCCTCCTGAGTGCTCTGGGTATTAAGAAAATGAAACAGAGCAGAAATTAGGTCAGGAAACCAAATTTTCCCCAGTCCCACTATATAGGAAAAGTTTAGCCAAGAGTTTCTGGAAAGGGAAAAACACCCTCCTGGTCTTGAGCCCAAGCCTCATAGAATAAAAAATATTTAGTACTTTGTTACTATTTTTCCCTAACCTATTGTGGTAGTCTCTAATGTCTCTAAACATAGCCATGTGTCCTATCCCTTACATAGCTACACACACAAAAATATACCCAGACCTGCGGGAAAATCAAAGACTATCTTTAAGCATCCTACAAACTTGAACCTTGTGGACAGTGAGATATTTAGGTCTGAGTGGAATTCTATTGATGTGGTTTTTTTCCTAGCGATGACTTGCTCCATCCCCTGAGTGAACTAGCTGCTGCACTTGTAATGTGGTACTGTATTTTATTTTTTTCTATTTATTTTAACTGATAAAAGGAAAGATACTCAGATATCTAGATACAAAGATACTCAGGCTTAATTCAAGTATCCAAGTTGCTTATTAATCAAGACTAAATCTGCACACTCTCACCAAGGAGAAAAAAAATCAAAAATTCTGTGGAGATTTAGTGCTCAGCAACTGACACAATTCTTATCATTTTGTCCCTCTGAACCTTCCCTATTCCCTCCTCTTTCCCCCTCTTTATCCCCCCATCTCATGATTGCTTGGTAATCTCTGTCCTGCTTCTCTTCCCCAAACTAGAACAACAAAGATAAATATGAGTATGGATTTTCTGAACACAACAAATGCAACCGAAGAGGTGACTTTAATGCTTACATTGAGCACAGAACTGAAAGAATGCATGGTGGTAAGTAGAGGACTGCGGGAAAGAACTCAAGAAACATCCCACCTCTTTACTATGAGGTCTGTGAGATTAGACTCTCATTTTAATATTGCAAACTACAATTAGTCCTATTACTAAAACCTCCTCAAATATGTTAGATTCTCAGGACAATTGTGGGAACTTGGGGAAGATTATTTTTGCTGCTCTGCAGATAAAGGACGCCCTAGACCAGAAAAGTGTAAGAGGCTAGGAAAGAGAAAGGAGTAAATCAGTGGTAGGAAACAGAGCTAAGAAGGGAAAAGAAAAACTCTAAGAACTATGTAGTGGGGAGAATTGGTAGGTGCTTCTCCAAAGTCCAAGAATGATAGGTGTTGGAGGGGAGGGGGTTCTGTTTTTTTTTTAATTTTTATTAGTGAAACACCATGAGGTACAGTTGTAGACTTACAAATTTTTGTGCTTGGATTTCAATTATACAATGATCAAATACCCATCTCTCCACCAGTGCCCATTTCCCACCACCACCACGGATCCCAGTATCCCTCCCACCCCCCCATCCCACCCTGCTTCTGTGGCAGGGCATTACTTTTGTTCTCTCTCTCCTTTTGGGTGTAGTGGTTTGCAAAAGTGGCAATCTTGTTCGGACTATAGCCTACTCTCATCACGCATTTCCCATCCTGAGAGGAACCTCCCAACACCCTTTACTTGGTGCTCCCTTCTCTATCTGAGCTGCCTTTTCCCCTAGCATGTGTGGCTGGCCTCCAAGCCATGGGGTAAACCTCCTGGTACTTAGGAGGGGTTTTTCAGAAGGAAAAACTACCCTTGTTCAGGAAGTGGAAGTCGATGGAAGGGAAGTCTGATTTTAAACCTGATTAGAGATTCTCAAGCAGTAATGTGCACTGAATGCATCCGAAAATCTGTTGTAAACGCATGTTCCAGTCAGTAGTTCTGGTGGAGGCCAGCACCACTATATTTCTAATAAGCTCTCAGGTACACCAAGGCTGAGATCCAAGAACCATGCTTTGTTCAGTAAGGGGTTAAAGCATGATCGCTCTTGCCTGGCTGATCTGAATTACAGGAAATCAGATCTGTGCGGATTTTAGTCAAAAAAGAACTTTCCCCCTGGAAGAGAAAGCCTTGTTTCATTTCCCTAGGTTTTCTCAGGTGATCTGACAAAAAACAACCTGCCCCTTGTTAACTGGTCTGCTCTAAGGTAGGACCCTCGTGTCTCCTGCCTCCTTCTGGAATGATATTGATTCAACAATTTGGGATATTGATCCCAAAAGGATCCCTTTTGGGGTAGGACTGGTACTTGCCTTCAGCATTAATTTCCTGACTCCAATTAGACCAAGGCCCATTGATGAAACTGGGAACAAAACTGGGAGCAGAGGTTTGCTATTCTGTAAAGCAGATGTTTCAATCCCTTTTAGGAATGGTGCTGGACCTCAGGTTGAAAACCATTGCCTTTCAAGTTTGTCTTAGAAATAACCCTGCCCCCCTAGGAGAAATATTTCAGATCTATGAGCAAAGATGAATACAGCAACTTTGCTAGCTGTTCTTTCTGTTTTATAATTCCAGAATATTAACCCTGTGTGCTCACTTGGAATGGGAGTTGAATCAATATCATTTCACCTTGCAGTTTGTGTTAAAACTTCAATGCAAAAATAAATAAAAGTGTGTGTTTCAGATTTTTGTGAGAATGCCGATGTAGAAAAATAATAATAGACACCTATTCCCATCTCCAGATAAGTGAGAGATGTTTAGTGAGTGTGTTTAATCAATATAATGGCAAGTGATACATTTTGTACCACTGTGGTTAAAAATATGTTTTCCAAAACACTGCTAGTACAATCAGATCAAAGAATCTTTTTAAAATCTTCTGGGGCCGGAGTGATAATACAACAGGGAGAGCATTTGCCTTGCTCACGGCCAGCTTGTATTTGATCTCTGACATCCCATATGGTCCCCTATGCACCACTAGGAGTGATTCCAGAGTCAGGAGTAATCCCTAAGCATCACTGGGTGTGGCCCCTAAACAAAAAAAAAAAGTAAAAAGTAAAGAATAAAACCTTCCAAGTAGGGGCTGGAGAGATAGCACAGCGGGTAGGGCATTTGCCTTCCAAGCAGCCGACCCGGATTCGATTCCCAGCATCCCATATGGTCCCCTGAGCACCGCCAGGAGTAACCCCTGTGCATCGCCAGGTGTCACCCAAAAAGCAAAAATAAAAGAGCAAAACCTTCCAAGTATACAGGTAAATGTCAAGAAACTCCTAGATAGATAATGGTAACTAGAAAAAAAACTATATAAATTTTATTAGTTTTGGTCCAGTATCTTTATAATTTCCAGTAAAATAGAACTACAAAGTACATTTATGTTATATAGATATAAAAAATATATAATTCCCTAAATGTTAATTGCATAGTTCCTAACTTGACTTCTCCTTAAAATGTGTTTGCAATTGAATTTTTGAGCAGGTATGTTATTTGGATCAAAAAATAAAGTTTTAAAATAATATGCCTTCAGTCATGTATTTGAATATGAAAATTAAATAATCCTTAAGGGTTGAAGAAAATGTAAGCTATAGTCTCCACCATTTTTATTTTGGCCATTTAACTGGTCTCAGCAGGATTTTGGTATATATGTCTGAAAATTGTTTATATGTACAGAAAGAAAATGTATCAAATTACATTAAAATGCCATATTAAAGAGTAATAAAACATTAAAAATAAACTTGTATATAGGGCTGGAGTGATAGCACAGTGGGTAGGGCGTTTGCCCTTGCATGTGGCTGACACAGCCGACCAGAGTTCAATTCCTCTGCCCCTCTTGGAGACCCTGGCAAGCTACCGAGAGTATCTCACCCTCAAGGCAGAGCCTGGCAAGTTCCCCACGACATATTCCATGTGACAAACACAGTAACAACAAGTCTCACAATGGAGACATTATTGGGCCCGCTCAAGCAAATCAATGAACAATGTGGGAACAGTGACAGTGACAGCAGTGGCAGTGCTATTTATGTCTCTTAATCACATAGGTTAGTAGGTCAAATTAGGGGCCAGAGTGTAGGCTCCTTGCCTTGCATGGCTAATTTAAGTTTGATCCCTGCTAACCTGAGCACCACCAGGACTGATCCCTGAGTGTAGAGCCAGTAATATGCCTGAGAACCACTGGGTGGGGCAAAAAAAAAAACTGAACTGAATGAAGATATAAAACAGTCAAGTTAGATTTTAGTGTTTGAAGACATAGTATATGTGAAGCTGTTACTCAGCTTGAGGACACGTAGTTTAAGGTAGTTAAAGTGCCAGGTCTTTGGCAATTCAATCACATGCATTGTGCTCACACCCTATGGGATATGACATTTGTTTTGATTAGGCAAGCATCGAAATTGCCAAATTCACAAGGCACACTATTGCTTGAACATCGATTTGCTCGAGCGGGCCCAGTAACGTCTCCATTGGAGACTTTGTTGTTACTGTGTTTGGCATATCAAATACGTCATGGGGAGCTTGCCAGGCCCTGTCGTGGGCAAGATACTCTCGGTAGCTTGCCGGGATCTCTGAGAGGGGCGCACTATTGCTTATGTAATTAAAAGGCAACAAGGTCAAGGGTAGGTTTCTCTGCAGAGACCCCAGGTCTCACTGGGTGTGGTCCCTAAACTAACAAAAGAAAAAGTAAAAAGTAAAGAATAAAACCTTCCAAGTAGGGGCTGGAGAGATAGCACAGCGGGTAGGGCATTTGCCTTGCAAGCGGCCTACCCGGGTTCGATTCCCAGCATCCCATATGGTCCCCATGTGGAAGGGAAGTCTGAATTTAAACCTGATTAGAGACTCTCGAGCAGTAATGTGCACTGAATGCATCCGAAAATCTGTTGTAAACGCATGTTCCAGTCAGTTTCTTAGTCCAATGTCAACAGGAGGACCACTTGAATTCACTGTGGGGTCTGGGGCCAGTGGGCTCCACTTAACCTTGGCAAACTCCAGAGGAGGGCACATAAACCCAGCCTGGATCATACGGTCACTCTCACATGTAGCCAATACTGGAGCTCACTAAATCTACCATATAAATCCAACATCTTGTGCTTCTCCTTGTAATAAAATTGTGCAGCTGGGTCTTGGTTGCTGTATTGAAAACAAGACCTGGGTTGACTTCTTGCCCCAAAGAAACAGGTGGTCATAGGTTAACTCCTATATTCCTAGTCAAGTAGCCAGGCAACCCCACCTTCGCAGTGCGCAGCCCTGCCTGAGTTCTCCTGACCCTGGGTGACCAACTGCAGCAGCCGTCTAGAGCTCTGGTTGCAGTGACACACAGGAACTGAGGTCAAATGCTTTCTGACGTAGATTTTAGTTTTTTGAACAAGACTTCAGAAGTGAACTCCCACCTGTGGTCTTGGTCTTGAAATTGAGGGCTTCCTCCTCCACCTCTTTCTCCTCCTTCACCCTCTCTTGTCTTTCTCCCTTTTTCATTTCAGACTAATACTGAGTTCTCTCTTTCCTCCTCATCTTCTGCAGGTTAACGCTTACCTGGAAAGCAGTCATCCAATGGACACGTCTTTTAACCTCACCCAGACTTCCTGCCTCTGTAACGATTCCCCAAGACACTTATACTGGCAATTTGTAGCCAATGGTAAGTATTCAGTTCATGGAAGGAAACAGAGTCCACCAGAAGGGGAAACTGTAAAGACATACAAGGCTCTGGATCCAGAGAAGGGCCCAGTCCCATAGACAGCAGGACAGGAAGAAGGAGATTGGGAGTCAGGTCGGGAACAGGTGTGTCAACCTGGATAGTGATGCAGGTGAGGCAGTAGCTGTGGCCGTGGCTATCTGTATTCATTCGCAATTCCCAGGTTCTTCAATATTTTCAAGAGTGAAAACATTGAATACTGAAGATGCTCAGACTCAGAGTTGGAATAGAAAAGTTTATTGGAAAGTAGAAGAGGAGGAGGGAAAAAAAGGAGTTCCCCAAGTAGGGAGGAATTTAGTCTAGGACTAAGTTAACTATGGTTCTTTTGTGAGATTTTTATAGGAAAAATGGGTCTTTGTGTTACAGAGAATGCGGGGAATCTACAGGATGGTCAGGCTGATTTGAGTCTTTCTGGCCATCTGCCTCTGATATTGTCCATTATCTTAGCCTCCCTGTGAGCCTAAGCCGTGGGGCAGAATTTTTATCATGAACAATCATTAACTCCCTGTCTATCAGAAAAGCCCAGGAATTTGCAAGGGAGTCAAAAATGTAGGATTGGCCAACCCAAAGCGGGACTGCTCACAGCAGCTGGCAAGAGTAAACTGGGGCCTCTTCATTCAATAGCTGCCCAGTGTAGAAAGGTGAAAGACTCTAAGAGAAAATCTAGTAAAGAAGAGGACACATTCGTAAACTTTTAGGGCAACAACTTACTGGGTGCTGCCAGATATTAGCTGACCAGGTAGGACTGGGGCTAATGTGTTATCTGAAATGAACTTACTCTTGTCACTTTCAGAAACCATGACTATAGAGGCTCATGCTGACGCTGTTTCAGAACTTGGCATCTGCCCTGACGATGAGGCAGTGGTACCAATAGTGGGAAGTCACGCTTCTATGGAGAAGAACGTGGAAGAATAGTGGAAGCCCTGGTATCTCTATGACCTATTACCCCAGATTGTTCTCTAAGGAAACTCAATCATGGTGGCTCTAAAATAAAATTTCCCGCAAGCTGCTCTGTGTGCTGCATTTCTGCGTCATACCCAGAATTTCTACCTCGTGAGTCTTTCAAAAAACCTTCACTCGAGGGAGTTTATAGGCCCTCACTGTCCACTGGTGGGAAAGGAAGAGAAGAAATACTGGAAAGAGGGCTTTTCTCACACACAAAAAATGTAGGGGCCCTGAAATTCACATCCAGTGAGGAACAGAACTAGGACAAGCTCCAAGACCCCATAACTTCTATTTCTTGTCTCTCAACCAGCTCACTGTCCCGCCATGAACAACTTCAGTTCCCATCTGAGGTCTCTAATCTATCAGTTGCTTCCCTGACCTATCTCCCCTCCCGCCCCCGACAGTAGCAAACTTCCTACTAAGGACCCATTCTCTTGCCCTTTGTTTCTATTATCTTTTTTTTTTAATTTATTTATCTTTTGTGTTTTGGATCACAGCCTGCGATGCTCAGAGGTTACTCCTGGCTCTGCACTCAGGAATAACTCCTGGCAATGCTGGGGGGACCATATGGGATGCTGGGAATCAAACCTGGGTTGGCTGCATACAAGGCAAAGGCCATCCCCGCTGTGCTATCGCTCCAGCCCCTGTTTCTATTATCTTTGAGCATTTTTTTTTGTATTTTACAAACCGAGCAAAAGCTTCAAGTCTGTCCCTCTCCATTTAACTCATTTCATTAGCAACAATTTCCAGCTTCATCCATCTGGGTGCTGGTGAAGGCACTGGTGATCAAACCCCTAGATTGAACCCCTAGAACTCAATCATAAATAGTTTTGTAACTTAGTCATTCACAGTGATTCAAGAATTCATTTTTAAATAAAAGAAAGAAAGAAAATGAGACAGACATAAAAGAAAACAAAGACTAGAATCAGGGACCAAACGCCCCCACCAGGACTGAGAGTCCTGACTACCCTGTATGTTCAATATTTATTTCTTAGAACCAGGAATTATTACAGGAAAAGGAGAGGGGCATTCTGCAGTCCAATGCCAAACTATGCTAATCTAACCAAACTATGCTAATCTAACCTGGCTGACTAGTTTGCATATCCAATCTCAATGGGTTCTTCCTCTGGGAGAAAGAGCAGAGAAAAAACCATTACAGGACCCACACCCACGCCTCCCCCAAACACACACACACACACACACACACACACACACACACACACACCAGGTAACTTTCTACACTGGAGCTGGCTTCTGAATTTCAGGGTCCTCTGAATTTCTCCTTAGTTCATCTGTCTTAAACACTGTTCCCAAAGGGGTGGGACTAAGTTGCAGTACTGCAGTGATAAGAACTAGATAGGAGGCGGGGTGGTGGGGTGGGGTGGGACGGTTGAGGGGAGGACAGAAAGAAAATCTGGTTTCTGGGCAAGATAGCAGAACCAGGAAACTATGATCCAGAATGGGTGTTAGAATCCATGAAGGGAAATACAATCACTGGAGGTGATTGTTGTACATAAATTAGAAGAGTCCATCAATTGTATTGTTTCGATTATTTGTTTTGTAGGGGGAGTCCCCAGGGCACTTACTCCTCACTCTGTGTTGGTCTCTGTGTTAGTTCATGGTTCCCAGGTGAAAAATGAAAATATTGAGTAATAATGATGCTTAGATTCAAGGTTAGAAAGTAGAAACGTTTATTGGAAAGGAAAAAGAAGGGAAAAGGAATCCCCATGTGGGGAGGAATTTAATATAGACTAAGTTAAGGGCTCTTTTTGTAGGGTTTTTTTTTTAATAGAAACATGAGGTCTTCCTTTACAGAGACTGCAGGAATGTTAAAGTAGTGGTTTGTGTTTCTGTATCAGTATTGCAAACCACAACGCCCAAAATGGAGGGGGGGGGAAGAGAGAGAGAGAGAGAGAGAGAGAGAGAGAGAGAGAGAGAGAGAGAGAGAGAAGAATAAGAAGAAAGGAGCCTGCCATAGATGCAGGCAGGAGGTGGGCGATGGGGAGTGATGGGAGGGAACCTGGGGACACTGGTGCTGGGAAATGTACACTGGTGGAAGGATGGATGTTGGAATACCATATAACTGAAATCTCATCATGAACAGCTTTGTAAAGGTCTATCTCACAGTAATTCAATAAAAAAAAAAGGTTTAAAAAATGATCAAAAATAGTCTTAATTGATGCAAACAAACAAATTTTCAACTTTAAAAAAAAAAGATGTGTGGCGTATCCAGTGGGCTGGAACGCTAGCACAGCGGGTAGGGCTTTCGCCTTACACGCGGCCAACACAGCCGACCTGAGTTCGATTCCTCCGCCCCTCTCAGAGAGCCCGGCAAGCTACCGAGAGTATTTGATATGCCAAACACAGTAACAACAAAGTCTCCAATGGAGACGTTACTGGGCCCGCTCGAGCAAATCGACGATCAACGGGAGGGCCTCAAGCAAAAAAAAAGATAACAGTTTGTTGTATAAGCCCTTTAAATGAAAATTGGGCTCTTTCATAGAAAGATTGCATTCATCTGGGGGATATAAAGTAACAAAGTATGAGATTAATACCCAAGAATAGCTGAGATCAGCACCAGGAGGATTACTCCATAACTTAGAGGCCAGCCGGGTATCCTAGAGGAAAGGGCAGCTCAGATAGAGAAGGGAGCACCAAATAAAGGATGTTTGGAGGATCCTCCCAGGAGGGGAGATGCATGTCGAAAGTAGACTATGGACTGAACATGTTTGCCACTCAATGCCTCTTTTGCAGACCACAACACCCAAAAGGAGAGAGAGAACACAGGGGATTGCCCTGCCACAGAGACAGGGGGGATGGGGGGATGGGGGTGGGAGGGATATTATCCATGGTAGTGGAAAATGGGCACTGGTGGAGGGATGGGTATCTGATCATTGTATAATTGAAACCAAAGCACAAAAAATTGTAAATCTACAACTGTAAAAAAAATAAAATAAAATAAAATAAAGGGAAAAAATATGAAAAAAAAAAAAGAAAATTGGGCTCTTTGCATTTCTTATCAGTTGACAAGAATGTTGCAAGAGAATGCAAGAATCCAACAGATCCTTGTTTGGCTATTCACCTTAGGTATTGCCCATTATCTTAGCCTCCTAAAGGAGCCTAAACCTTACTGTAGAATTTTATGTTGGACAATTTTTAACTCCCTGTTTATCAAAGGAGCCCTGTAATTTGCAGGAAATTAAAAATGTAGGATGGGGCAGTCAAAAATGGAACTGCTCACAGCAGCGGACACAAGGGTAAACTGAGGTCTTCCCCTTTCATTCAGAGATCACTCCTGTTGGGGGTCGGGGGGGGGTGCAGGCAAGTACCTACCCACTGTAGTGTGTGTTTACTAAAAATAAAATACAAGGGGCCCTAGTGGCGGTTTTCTCTCTCTCTCTCTCTCTGACGCCTGCGTTCAGTGGTCTCACACCACTTCCCCCACCCTGGGGAGGTCAATGGCAACTGGCAGGCAAAGGGAAGGAATGAAGGCCAGGCTGGTTGGTGTCATTTGCAGTTTATTCCAATCTCCTCTCCATTCTCCTCTGATTGTCTTCCTGCTTCATCCTCCCCCATGGTACTTCATTCTCCTTCTCGATCCCACTTCATTCTCCTCGTTCGGAATCCCTCAACCCCCTCTTACAGCCTAGTTAAATCCCCAAGCATGAGGGATTGGGGCTTACACATAGGTGTGGTCGTACAATCAACAGAGGTAAAGTATTTCCCTCAGGGAAAACTGCTTCTAGGACAGATTCTCATCCAGCAGGAGGACTCTCCCAAGACTGAAATTCCAACTATGTGTATGTTTCTCCTCTCCTCAGTCCAACAAACATATAAGCATTTATAATATTAATCATTTTGTATGGACACAGTAAGAGATACATTAAGCTTATAGGACTACTCTCCTGGGGTCATCTTGATCTCAGACTATAGTGCTCAGGCCAGATTAATCTTTCCTATCCCTAGCAGGACCCATATCTTATCGTTACTTTTGGATCTTGACAGCATTTGTCCATGACCATGCTCTCAACTTATAGTTCAGTACTGTGATGCTTTGGCCGGGCCCATTTTGATGCCAGAGTAACTCACAGCTTGCCCTGGGTCCATCCAGTCCCTCATCAGAACCCTGCTTTGGGAATGCTAGGATCTAAGGGCAGCTGAGGCTTAAGTTGAGAAAGAAGATGCCCGGGAGTGAATAATATTTGAAGTTAATTAAATCCCAAGGTACAAAAGCATAATATTAACTGTCTTCCTGTGTCTATACAAAAAGAACATTTTTCTTTTATCAATTTATTTTTTTAATAGTGAGACATCATGAGGTACAGTTGCAGACTTACACATTTTTGTGCTTGGGTTTCAATTATACAATGATCAAACACCCATCCCTCCACCAGTGCGCATTTCCCACCACCATGGATCCCAGTATCCCTCCCACCCCCCAGCCCCCATTCCACCCTGACTCTGTGGCAGGGCATTTCCCTCTCTCTCCTTTTGAGTGCTGTGGTTTGCAAAAGAGGCATTGAGTGGCAATCATGTTTCGTTGATAGTCTACTTTCAGCATGCTTCTCCCATCCTGGGAGGATCCTCCCAACACCTTTTATTTGGTGTTCCCTTCTCTTTCTGAGCTCCCTTTTCCCCTAACAAGTGTGGTTGGCCTCCAGGTCATTGAGTAAAATTCCTGGTACTAATCTCTGTCATTCTTGGGTGTTAATTTCCTATTTTGTTACTTTATGCTCCCCAGATGAATGCAATCTTTCTATGTCTATCCCTTTCTTTCTGAGTCATTTCGCTTATCATGATACTTTCCATGTGGTATCACTTGTATGTAAATTTCATGACTTCATCTTTTCTAACAGCTACATAGTACTCCATTGTGTAAATGTACCAAAGTTTCTTTAAGCAGTCATCTGTTCTCGGGCACTCAGGTTTTTTTCCAGATTCTGGCTATTGTAAAG